TCTCTTTCAATTTTTCATTAGCTTCTTTCAAAGCATCTGAATCTTTTTTTTCTTTTGCATGTGCTTATCTCATGCAGCTTAGCATCTACTTGCAGCTGGGAAATCAATTATTTTCAGTTATAAACATTAAAGTTCTGATGACAAACATTAATTCTAGCATACACAAATTGAACAAATATTTTGAATGTAAAACTTTAATTTCAGAAAAATGTCCGGTGATGTCTGTCCTACAGATATGAAGGCTTTCTGTACGTATGTCTTCTCAGGGTCCAGCTACATTTTAATGTTCATTGCATCTTTCATTTTGCTTCTGTTTTCATCATCACCAGTAACCATATCAACTTGGATCACATAATAATGCCCACTTTGGCATTCACATATTGTATGTGTCTGACTGATACTGCCCTAACCAGTTATCTAAGGATATTTACCACTTCTGCTTTCATGATTCCCAACACAGATGTGAAACTCAGAGGTCTGAAGTTGTGCAGAAATAACTCAGCTTAGCATCGAAGTTGTATACCTTCATATCATGTTCCCTTGAACACTTTACAGAAGAAAGGTGGTGGTGGGGGAAAGACCCATGTGAGCCTCTGTAGTGAGTTCTGACAGAATCAAGGGTGAAACAGTGAAATTCTGGATTTTGCTGTACCTGATCTTTCTTCTTAATAAGATGAATAGTACAATGACTCTTCCTGTTACTTGTAATTCAACAGACACTCTAATAAGACGAGTGCTGCTTATTAAGATGGATTAATATTAGACAGTCGTGTCTAAACTGGGAAGTCAAGACTGAAAAACTGCAAGTTATCTTTCAGAGGAAAAGCAGGTTAGCAAAAGGAAAAAAAACACTTTCCCTCATTCAATCTTTTTTTTTCATGTACAATTATTAAAAGTTCTTTTGTCCCCAACAGCCCTATGAAACTAACTTGACCAAGACAGAATTAGCTTACAAAGTCAGCTACATATTGTGTGCAACGACTTCCTGGACTATCTGCCAGGGTTGGTATTCCTGTGCTGAGGAGGGCTGTATAACAACTTAACTAGAAGAACAGGCTGAACATAGCTATTTTGTGATCCTAAGTATTATTTAATTCAGTAAGCCTTTTAGAGATGCAGTTTAAGGGTAGAAATGTGAGCTTTGTATGTTTGTTTTGCTTTAGAGTATCCCTTAGATTTAGTGGACAATATCTAGTGTATCTTGCTAGCAGAAGTTTATGCAATGCTTGGGCTTTGATTCTGAAAAAAGATGATGCAGATGTCTACTTTCTAAGACTAATTTGGTTACAAATGCAAGAAAGATAGCATATTTTATATTCATCCACAAAGAGAGTACCTGTGCTTCTATCCATGCATCCATTTGTTTCCTGCTTAACTTGTGGAAATGGATATGCTGTCACATACTGAGTGATGGAGAAGGAAAAAGCCCCTTAGGAGAATATGTCTGATGCCTTAAGGTCATCAAGGATTATCTTGCAAATTAGTATGGGACCAACAGTGACCTGATGCTCCAAAAATGGCAGTTCATAATTTATGCTAGATGAACAAGTATGACAACAAGCTTCAATAATGCAAAGGACATTTTGCTTTTAAAATGGCAATCAACTATGAGATTCTTTTCCATCCACATGCCCCTAACATGCATAACCACAAATATATCTGCATGTAAACACAAAATTTGTTTCCCACTGCAATACAGGACTCAGCAGGAAGTTTACCAAAAACTTTCTTGAAAATACACATAGAATGAAGGACTTTTATCCTTAATGCACTTTGTCTGTAGCAGGGCAGAATAGATTTTTGATTAGTCATGAAGAAAAAAGTCTATCCACACTGCTGCCAGTGACTCTTTATGAAAGAAAAAGAGCCAGCTATAGCTTGTGTTAGTAATGGAGAACAAAGTAAGGAAATGTGCAGTTCAGGGCTGCCTGCATGTAAATGAACATTTTAAGGCACAACTTGTTAAGTGCATCAATGAAGGATTGACTTTAAGAACTGTTGGTTCTGGGAAGCATTGGAATCTTTTTCTGTTCAGGTAGATTTCACCTTAAACAAGAACTATGTCACATCTTTGAGCCTGAGGCTAGAAATTTCATAGGAGCCTTATTGGAAGTGCTTGACCATGGACTGAATGGCAGAGATGCCCCAAGCCCTGCTTCTCTGGTCACTGCTGATTTCTCCAGGCCAGCCGTAATGGCTGGGGTAGAAGGGCTTCTGCTTTCAGCTGGTGGATGATATTGATATAAAACCCATCCTGCCCTCTCAGTGTAGAACTGGAAGAGTGAGAGTGGTGGGGAAAACACTAATTTTTGGCCAAAAATACCTCAATCATCAACCAAAAACTCCTGGAATATAAAAACAAGTTTAGAAGATAGATGTTCAAAAACCTGTAGGAAAGTTAGGTATACAGGACAATACAAGGCTCGTTACTCTGTGCATGCCAGTTTCCTGATATTTGATGCATCAGATGTAAAAATAACTTCATAATGCAGTATAAAAAGACTTTGCTGGATTGTTCATAAAATGCAGAGAAAGAAAACTACATATGTGGTTATTGAGCTATAATATGCTAACCACCTTCCAAGTAATAAAAGCGTGCAACTCATGTTTGCTTTGATTCCAAAGCAAGTTATCTGCTATAACTTTATAGGTGCAATTTGGCTGCTAAAGAGTTGTATAAGGAACAGATTGTTAAATGCCTTTTAAAAAATGTTACTTAATGCTTAGCAAGCTGCTTTGAGTGTGATTTCTCTGATCTGCTGAGAGAGTAGTACAAATTGGTCTTGGTGATTCTCTAAATCATTTAATTATTTTGTTACGCTAATTCTCAGTGCAGGGGTTAGGAAACCTCACAAGTTGATTTTAACCTGTTTTTCAGTCCTTTTGTTGGCATATAAGTGCAGCTTATTTTTACTGTAGGCACATAACTAGAGCTGGGTTTGCTTTTGGGGTGATTGATTTTGATCAGGTTTGTATTTTCTGTATTTTAATTTTTATATTATATAAATATATATACTCATCTTATATATATACTATATAATAAATATATATACTATATATTTATATATAGTGTATATATACTATATATACTGTAGTATATATATAAATATATACTATATATAAATATATAGTATATATAACTTATATATAGTATATAAATATATATATTCATCTAACTGTCAGGAGATAAAACCATTGTTCTTGTGTGGGTTCTCTGTGTCCTTGTTGGAGTCCTCAGGAATACCAGTCATGTCCTTTAATGCCCTTAGTTGTTTCACGTCAGGAAAAAATTGCAGCTTTCTCTCCAAGTTTGTTCTGTGATCTGTGAGATTTCACAAGCTATTGTAATCTTGGCTTGCCTAGATCTATGGTTGAATGGGTGGTGTACAAAGACAGTGCTAGGGGAACAAATATTGCTAGGTTCTTTGGAAGCTCCTGATTTACAGTATGGAATAAGTTTCAGTCATAGGGAGTTTTTTGCTCAGGTGAGTACACAATGGTAGGTAAAAATATTACTGATTTAAATAATTACTTATAGCCTTTTGGCTTTAGAGGGTTATGTAACTCTAAAACTCAGAAGACTGCGTTGCTTACATCTGGGGAAAAGCATTCTACAACCAAGGGTCTCCTCTTAACTTTGTATTGCTGTGTGGTGCAAAAGCAGTTGCAGTGTTCGTGAAGAAGCATATGCTAAATGCATTTTTTCCAGTGCTTTGTGGTAACAGATGCTATTAGAAGTGCAGTATTGCAAAACTTAGTAGAATTTTTCCCCCTCCAGTATCAGGAGAGAAATAGAATAATAAAATATCCTAGTTGTGAATCTGTCAATATTTTTTTCCTCTGAAAAGTAGCTTTTTGAGCCTTACGGTGTCTGCATGGTTGAAACCTCCTGTAAAGATTTAAGCTTTCACCTGAAGTCAGAGGCTATGGGTCCAGTTCATCAAAACTGTGTCCTGCCTCAGAGGCTTCATTAGGATTTAGATGCCTTTGAAGAGCTGAGGTTGGTCCCTTTGAAAGATTTGTCTCATTTCCACATCTATATTTTAAAGACCAAACTCATTATAGTGGGTTTGTATCAGTATCAATAGTAGAATGAGTAAATGCCCACAGCTGCTCTGAGTGCTTGGATTCAGCAAAGGAACCTTTCCTTGCCCTTGTATTCTAACCACACAGGGTGTGTAGAGTTGTCCTGTTAAGTGCTGATCACCCCTGTGGGAGGCTTGGAGGGGGCAGACGGCCTGGCCTAATGTACTGCTTATGGGAGGGATCCCTGGTAGATCTGGGATGCTCTGCAGCCCTCCATTCATGGCACTAATCAGACCTAAGGTCTAAAGCTTATAATATGCTCAGCTGCTGACTGAGCCCTTTAGTCTGCATCTCATTTTGTTTAGAGTGAAAGAGATCAAAGGGAAGAGAATGAAAGTGAGGTAGAAAAGTCAGAGTGGCTTGGTGAAAGGATAGAGATCCATCCACAAATTACTCCAGTACCTCAGAATTAAGATAAGCTATCATTATTGTATCCTTTCTGGGGTTTTCTTTGTTTGTTAGATGCTTTGTGCCATGGCTTGTTATCTTGTGTCAACATCACTTACTGTCATTTTGGTGAGTAGTCAGTGTGGAAGCAAAAATTACACTGCAAGCTGTTAGATTAAAAACAACGTGAAATTTTCTGTATTTGGTGACTGCAGTGAACTCAGTTGCTTTTTCTCCCACATTCCTCCTCTCGCCTTCTTTTTTTCGCACAATCAAAGCTCTGAAAATTAGGATGAACACAGTTGTAATAAAAGAAATATAATATTCTGAAGAAAGCCTCAGGGAGATTTTCTCATGCAATTCTATGAAGCTATTGTACACAGCTTGAAATTTTAGAAAAATGTCATGTTATCATTTCACAGTAAAATGATGAAAAGCAGGTGACAAACACTTTGGTCTTTTTTCTGTAGCCTGCAATATACTAGAAGGAAAAGTTTTGGAAAGTAATGTTTATTTCTTTCCTACAGCAGTCAGATCCGTGTGGTTCATCTGCATGTATGCTCTTAGCACACCGTCTTCTGACATCAGTGGTCATCTCCATGCTGTGTACTATTGCAAAAGCAGGATGGCTTAGGTAAGAGATTTCAAGAAAGCTCAGTGTTCAAGGCCAGGTTGGATGATAATTTCTTTCCCATACCAGAATTGGCATTAATTACACAGGTTGGTGGACTACGGGGCAGCACTGTAAACTACCTTGTGCAACTGTACTATAGATGCTGCTGAAAGCCTTCCAGCTTGCCTGACTGTAACTTGTCCGAGTCTGTTCTCTTCCATTTCAGAGATTCATTTAGCTCTCAGAACTTGGTGATATTTTAGGAAAAGTATGTAATATTTCTTCCTTGCTCTCTTAAGCAAGGACAGGTTAAAGCCTCATTGCTGTAACTCAGATTCCCAAAATATTTAAGTGACCAAATCCAATTGACATAAATTGTATTAGGTGCTTGCTTGGTGGGCTGTCAATCTTCAGGCATCAATTCCCAGAGTCACAAGATGAGATCAGAATCTCAGCCATTTCTGTCTTAAGTTTTCTAGGCTCTATAAACATAAACTATTTCTCTCACCTCTACAAGAAATATAAATGAAGTAAACCAACTTGTTCTGAAGACTGCTTAATACAATGCTCTCCTTCCCACTCAGTTTTACCCAGGTTTAACCTAGCATTATTGCAGTCACATGAAAGCTAGATGGGGATATAAGGTAAACTTGAAAGAGCATACCATTTTAGAATATGTCAAAGACTTTTGCTTGGCTTAGTTTGGATGAGTTCCAGTGTATTATTAGTAGAGATATCTTTAATATCTTATGGCATTAAATTTGCAGATCCAAATCTTAATGCAAAATAGGAGAAATTGCATTTCAAATAGCTCATGACAGAAACTTCAACACATAATACTTAATGAGATGATGGACCATTTGTGTATTCTAGGCATGAATTATACTGGCAGATGTAACTCACAGGAAGGTAAGTGAAGCCATCTTGTGTTTGGAGTAAAAGTTGCGCAAGTAGTGAAGGGCAAATTGTCTATAGCCTTCTTCCTCTAAAGCATCGTCTGTAGTTTGAACAGACATTAACTACTATTCACAAAAACTACCTGTGGGTGTTTTTGAAATATTTATTACTTTCTTCCTCTTTAAAGTTAAAGGCTGCATCTGTCTCTACAATAAAAGATGGTATTTAGTAGAGTAGATAGACACTTGTGTCTGCAAGTAGCAATTAAATTGCTCATCCCCCTGTGCTGTGTGGGCAGTTCTTATTCCTTAATTCTTGCCCCCTCAAGTTGTTCACTCACAGATTTAACTGTGAGGCAATGTAAAGAAACTGTATCCCTCTGTTCTGAAAAAGCCTGGAACTAGCTCTTTCTTGAATGACATTTCAACATTAAAAAACCATTCAATTGGTATTTCACTGACTTGTATTTTCAAGCCCTGAATAATTCTTGACAGTAGCCAAGGACAAGACAAATGTGTTATGACTACCATTTTATCTTTGGGAAAGAAAGGTAGAAATGGTCAATTAACTAGTGAATAGTCCTAAGGCTTCTTGGGAGAAGCAGTTTAATGACCTCCTCTTTTTTTTGGTGATAATAAAGTGAAACGTAATTATAGTTCACTTTTTAAAAAGTAGTAATGTAAGCAGGTGGAGATCTACATTTGACCCACTCTTTTCAAGGGACCTGTTAAATGCCTTCTGATTTCTTCTGATAGGTGAGCACCTCAGCTCCAAGCTGGATAAAAATGTGATATTTTTTTTATGACTTTAAACAGATTTTTTGAAAACTTCTCTCAAAGTGGGAAGGGAAATGGGTAAGTTAGTTCAGTTACTGATGAAACTGAGTGTTTGGCCTCTAAATTTAGATTAAATATAATTTTTCTAATATCTGGTCGTAGTAGGCTAATCTCTGCTACTTAACATGCACCTATTGCTGCAGTAGTTGAGTGCAACATCAACCTCTGGACATGTTAAGCATGACCCTTGAATCCCTCAGTGGCACAAGCTGCTTCAAAGATCAGAAAAAAGCTGAAACAGCAGTCTCTGCCACTAGTCCCAGTTCCAGAATGAGTACCATTAGTGGGGATATGTTTTGCATCATTTGAAGTACAAAGGCATAAGTTGCTCTGCTTTTTGCTCACCTGGAGTATGCTGGGCTGTCTGAGGCCCAGATGTTTCCTCTGCATGGCCTCCTGCTACAGCTGTGTGTTCAGACTCTTAATCCAGTCCAAAAAGCTTGCTCATAATTTTTTATTGGATTTAGGAGCCTTATTCAATATCTGTTCTAGTCAAGTTTTGGTTCTGGAAAAAATAAATGGCAATGATGAACTTCATTCCCTTTTCCTAAAAGACTTGCTCTTCAGATCTTTGTAAGTGGTGCACATGTGGCCTGGGAGAAGTGGTCTACGTGGGCTTGTGGTTCTCTCCTCCCTTTCACTCACACTGCACAGTTGTGTGATTAAAATGCTTTAATTTTATAATGTCAAACTGTAAGACGGACTCCTGTTCTCTGGCAATAGCAAAGTGTTGGATGATTTGACTTCCGAGCAGGGTGGATTTTTTGCCCTTCAAGTATCACCCTGCATATGACATCACTCTTTTTAGTGTCACTTGATGTTTGTCTTCTCCTACACACAAAGCAGCAGAGTGCTAAGGTCTTTCACCTGCCTGGCCTTGGAAGCTGGAGTGCAGTGAGCAGTGTTCTCTTCCCAGAGGTCCAGTACAGACAGAAGAATGGGAAAGATCCAGTTAAAAATGAGATCAAGGGTTGGTGGAGAGCAAAGAGCTTTGTGGAGCTGCTGAGAGGACTTCTTCTGTATTTGCAAATTGGCAATTTCTCATCAGTCTCTGGTGAGGACAGTGCTGGGACCCCCCCTGTCAGGCAGGAGGGATATGTGCTGGAGCAACTGTCCTGAGTGATTTAGTATGACTCTTTTCTTCCCAGTTTGTTTTTTGGTTGTTACTGAGCTGCATTTATTTTGATTTAACTGTAAGAATAGGGTTGAGTGCAAAATAGAGCTGTTTAGTAAGGGATGCAACATGTGCTTTCTTTTTAATGAATTCCAAGTTATCCATAAAATCAAATCCTGTGGAAGAGCAATTTTGGAGTGGGAAATTTTAACATTGTGTTATTTCCACTGTAATAGAATATTAACAACGTACCTTTGGGGGGGGGGGGGGGGGAGATTGAGACGCTTCCTCTGGAAATGTTAATATAGAGTTTTATGACGTTGCTATAAGACTTTGGTCTTGATTGCTTCAAAATAAAAATTTGGCAAGGTTTTACTTTGTAAGTTTCATGTGACACTGCTGGATTGTGATTATTTTTTTCAACCAGCTTCCTATATTATGTCTCTTTCCTTATATCAGTATCTAGAAAAAAAGTCAGATTCATTAGAAGGTAAAATTTTGGGGTATTTGCATACAAATAAAATCTTGAACTAAGTTCTCTTTGTAGAGTGCATTTAAATATTTCTCTGCTGTGAAGTCAGCAGACAATCTAATAGATTTGCTCTTCAATGTTTAAATAACATCTTCCTGAACATTAATGCAACTGCTCCAAAGACTGCATGGTATCCCCTGAAGAGTTACGGTGGTGACTGCATGTTTCTTCATGCTAATCTATGAATATGAGAAGGTGGTACTAAGTTAAGAGAAGCTCATTTTCCTTGTGTATAGGCTATGACATCTCCAAGGTTGTTAGCTGAATGCAAATACTTTGCATAGCAGATGGCCTGAAACAGGCACTTATGTGCAGAGGGTTTTTGCAGCAGTTACATGCATCCTGTCTACCAGAATAGCTTACCCATGCACAGCTTCTGCTTGCTTGTAACTGTGGTGCATGGTGACCAGATTTGAGTATCCAGGCTAGCTTGCTTAGATGGTGAATAATTGTGACTTTTTAGAAGTATTAAGCTATTAACAGTATTTTTCAAAATGTTATTGTTTGTCGGCTCTGTTGTAATGTTCTGCAAGTTCAAGCTGGTAATTAACTATGTAAATTCTAGCAACCTGAATCATACTGCTTTGCCTCAAATGCCCTCCATATGCGGAAAGATCATGGCAGTTCACAAGGGATTTAAGCATAGACTTGGGCCATGAATTAATCCTGTCTGGTTGAAAAATGTAGGTAATGATGGAACACGCATTGTTGACTTAAAATTGCTTATCAGGAAGGCTGTGCAGTAGTGGACAAGGTCAAATCAAAGGGGGAAAAGACATGTTGATATTGGTTGGAAAAAAAAGGCCTTTGTGAATGACTATAAGGTTTCCCCCCAAAAGGTCGTATTATAGCATTTCTATGTGGCTTTTTCACCCCCCAGTGGATTACCCATCCACTTTGTTTTACCGTGGTCCTCTACAACACTACCAATGTGAGAACACATTTCTTGTATAAACTGTGGGAATTTTGACATTGAGTGTCATTCCTGGTTAGAAGCTTGCTTTATCTTTATTTTTTTGAGATGTCTGGGGATAAAACTTAAAACTTCCACTGTATCTGTATCATAAATCAAACATTTTGCTGGAGGATAATGATGCCTTAAAAAAAAAAAAAACAACATGGAAAATTCAATCAATACAATATGTAAAATATAACAGCTTGTCTGCAGTTTAATTTCTAATTCATTAGTTAGTATTTGCATATTTATTATGGGGTACTGGTTTTGAGAACAATAAAGAATGAATTCATCTTTCTGGTGTTTTATAACTATGAAAATCAGAACAAAAATTTCAGTGTTTTTATGTATGTAATTTGAACAATGTACCCACTAAGTAAGGCTTGTGGGCAATTTCTAGAGAAGCTGATTCAATTATTCTACCATGTTAGCTCACTTTCTGCAGATCTTTAATAGCAGAAGTTGTTTAGTCCCTTAATTTCATATTTCAGCAGTAGAATGCTCCACATTTTGATCTGTGCTCTGAGTACTTTGTGTAGGGGAATGAACCCTGCAGATATTACCACAGCAAGTCAGTTTTTTCATCCTCTCTGGTACTGGCAAAAGGAACTGAGTGACAATGTTTGAATGTTGTCTGTGGAAGAGATCCCTAAGGATTAGCTGTTTGACACTATTTTCCCATAGTATGCTGGTGGAATAACAGGTATATCTGTAATATCTGTATTTTGGGGCCAATAGGGTTTGGTATAAGCAGTAGAAACTACTTAAGAGGTCTGCTTGTACTACATACATGTGAAATGAAAGTTCTAAGATTGAAGCAAGATTCAAACCCTTTGGGTCCAAAGCTATGGGTTTGCCTTTTGATTAAAAGAAAAGGACCCCATTTTTTTATGCATCTGAGTCCCCTATCTCTGAACTGATCAATTTCAACTTGGCATGGTAGTTCAGGTTTTCTTGTACCACATTTACCTTTCAGCCCTGCAAACCTCTCTCTTCAGTAGTAGCCACGTAATGCCTTAGATGTCTATTTGTCAATATTCCTGCTAATCAGTCTTTCAGAGGTGGCAGTTGTATTTCCAAATGATGCATCTCAGTGAAATCACGAAGCAATGCAAAGAATTTCTCTGTAATCATTGCTAACCATATTAAAAACAACTCAGAAGTTCAATTTAATGTGTCCTGGGTAGATTTAACCAACTTCTGGTGTTTTATAAATCCTCTAACTTCCTTTTTTAAAAAAAAAAAAAAAACAAAACAAACTTCAGGCAACAATCTTTCCTTTGATAGAAATGGGCTTTCTTATTGCAGTTTTTGAAGCTTGCTGTGGGTTCAAGAGCTTTTTGTCCTATTAAGCTGCCTCTTTTTAAAAAAAAAAGTTTATGAAACTAAACAAACAAGGTTATGTTTAATGCTTATCTTTAATAGACTCTTTAAATTGTTTGTGATACACAAGTGTTTGAAAGTGCAGTGTGGCTCCATCTTCTAATGTTTTTTGAAAAGTATGTCATAACATCTATTCAAAACTATTTTTGAAAGCATTCAGGGTTCTTTCTCAACTTTTGCTCCTACTTATTCTTATCACAGTTTGTAGGAGACTTAAGTTGAATGGGTTTTTCATAAACTTACTTTCTCACCAGTTTCAGTATTGGAAAGAATACTATGTCACTGCATTTTTTTGGAGCTATTTTGAGTGATGAGGCACAGAAAACAAAGGCATGTTGATAATGTGGTGTGTCTCTGTCAATGCTGTTTGTGACTAGTGTTATCTTTGTAGTGACCAGTGCAAATAATCCTCAATATTGTCACAGAAAAGCTTTACGCTGAATGTCAGTCTACCTCCTGGATCTAATAAGAGGGGAGGAGAAACAACCATATTGATAAGTAATTTTTACACACTTATCTTATTTAACAATAAACATAAGTTGTAGAATCATGACTATATAGCCCATTGCTATCTATTGCTGGGGAGGCCTCCTTTCATCACTGAAGGCTTTGTTATCTTTGGCTAGGCAGGTTGCTTCTTTTCCAGAGCCAAACTTAATTCTAATAAATCCACAGCAGCAAATACTTCTAGGCATCACTTCTAATTATTTTACAATGGTAAGTATAGGTCAGATCTAGCAAGGAAGACTCTCAGTCAACAAAGTAATAAACTGAAAATTAACCCATAAATGTGACTGTCAGTTCCTCTTTGGATTAGAAAAGAGCAGAGTAGCTTTAGAGGAGTTATGGAGAAATATCAATTTGATTTACAGACAGTAAACTTTCTGTGGTCTGGGTATGAACATGGATCTTATTTAAGAGCTACCTCTTGTTTGAAGTGAATATTTAATGCCAGCGTAAACTTCTGAAGAGGAAAAATAAGTAAAGACTATTCAATCTAGTAAGAAAGAGCTGGTAATAGAAATGGAAAATCAAACAGAAATTGGGATCAAAGGTTGAACCCTTGCCCTATATTGTTCTTTATAAAAGATGTATTTTTTCTGAGTGATGCATTTGAACAGTTGCAGCGAGGATGAATTGCTAATCTAAGCAACCAAAACTGAAATTCTTATTGAAAAATGAAACAAACTTGTGAAATGCAGGGGTCTGATACATGAAGTCAGAGGATTCATAGTTGAAATGCATTCCAATTTTATATGTAATTAGGCTAGGTATTACCCTGCTGGTAGGAAAGCTTGGGGATCTTTTGCCAATGTCTCATGTTGGAGTTTGCTAGTGAAGAACTTGTCAAAAACACTTATCAGATTCAGTCAAAAGTTTCTATAGGTTTCTCATCACTATGAAGAGTCACTGAAGAAACGGCTGAGCAAGTTTGAAGTCCTGTTCTTGATTTGGAAAAGTCTACTCTGAACATATTCTCCTGTCACTTAAACTTGCTTATTTTCTTTTTAGCCAACCTGAATGTCTCACTTTCATTGGAGAAAGATCACATCTGGAATGAAATTGTTCATTAAACCATGTTGTCTGGGTATTTTTGGAATACAAAATAAACAACAAACTGACCCAAAATATAACTATTCTCTCTAGTTAAAATTTTATATTTTTCTCAGAAGGAGAGGCTGTGAATAGCTATACTGCTCTGAAGGTGCCTAGAATGGACACTTATAGGGGGTGTGTGTGTGGGGGGGAAGTATTACAAAGGCTGAATTTAGTCAGGCTACCTCTAACCCTGCAAAATCAACTTCTGAATTTAATGTGATTGAGGGTTGAGACAAGATTCTAGGTTTGCCTTTAAAGGACACTTGTTCCAAGCACTATTTTCCTTTCTCTTGAGTCTGTGTTCTTTCAGCTGGATGAAATAGGTTATTTGTTACAGATTTATTGTCCTCATTTCTGTGCCTTGTCTCCCATTCCACAACATATAGTTAGTCTTGAACATATAGATAGTCTTGTTTACTAATAGTATAAAATAGAATTGAGTAATTGGTGATTGTCTTTAGGTAACAAAAGTATGGGTGAATATACTGACCATTTAAAATATAAAGATGAGAATAACGAATCTCCAGAAGTCATACCATTCACTTCACTTAACTGACAGCACAGAAATTAGCAAGCTAACATCTACCCAAAGAAGTTTAACCAAGATGTGTCCTAGGGAATTTAAAATAGATCATATAAAAATAAAACTTAAAATACATGGAGCTTCATGGCTGATGATTTGTAAGGGCAGTAATTCTATTTAACTGGAATGTTTTCAGCTGATATAGTGGTGCCTAGGTCCTTAACAATCACATTTCTTATTCCTTGTTCTTCTGAAGCAGTGTTTGCTTCTATCTTACCTGTAGCTCATGCAAGCAGTAAATGGATTCTACTTTCTCTGGTTGATAGCTGGTGATAGCTGACTTATTCTCCACCATTACACAGTTAATCTGTGTAAAATACAGATTAATCAAAACTTAGTTTTCTGTAACTTTTCTTTTTATGATTGCTTTAATAGGTTGCTTTATCACCCTCCCCTGCCCATGCATTTTTGAAACATTCTTGTGAAGGGATGTTGAGCCACTGACATGGACTTCATTACCCTTGTACAGTCACAATGTTCTTGAAGATATGATGAAACTCATTGATGCTGGCTCAAGTGGTTTAAAAAAGAGAAACAACATAGAGGTGGTTTCCCTGGTGCTTTGTCTAAGCTCTCAAGTATATGGGAAAAATGCTATGATCTCTAAATCTGAGACTAGCAACTTTGGTCAAATTCTAAGTTCTATCGAGAGTTTTTCAATCGAAGCACAAATCAATAGCAAGCACTGTGTGTGAATTCTTTAAAAGTTATCTAATGTAAGGCAGTGACTATAAGCTATTAAAATCAGCAAGCCAATATTTGAATACCTTAGGCTTATTTTTCAGAAGTTCTTTTGTACAGCACGTGAAAACAAGTTGTGCTTTATGTTCAGCAGACTATTTGTAAAGAAGTGACCTATGCGAAGTGTTCATACTTTTAGCTGACAGCTGGCCAGCCACTTCCAATTGTTTTCTAGTACTATAACTACTGCAGTATATAGTTGTGAATACATATCCTTACTACATGAAGATACTGTCCCTTTGAGCCTGGTGCTCCCTCCAACATCTGTAGATTGTGAGCCTTCTGCTTCTTGCACAAAAGTCTGCTTATAGAACAGCCTGCAAGGTTGTTTCCCCCCCATACACACACACCTTGGATAATGCACATTGAAAGCTTATGTTAAAATCTCTGATTGTGTTGGATTGTCATTTAGGGACTCCTGAATTGTCAACCTGTTGACAATTGGCCTGACTTCTGTAAAGTTGTGGAGTTCAGACAGGTCTTACTTGACACTTGCATGCTGTCTATGGTGCAAAGTTTCTGGCTTAGCTGAGCACTCCACTTCTGGATGCTGGGAAGCATTGAGTCTCTGAATCTCGCAAATGCTCCTTGACTGCCTGGACTCTCAGGGCCCTGGTTTCCAAACTGGCTTGCCTCAAAGGCCTTATGAAGTTTTTTGGGCACTCATTTTGGATCTTAGCTTGGGGAAAAGAAGGGGAGAGAGACACACATCATATACTGGTATATGGAAGTCTCATGGGTTTCCTACTTCCAGTTCTGCTCCAAGTAGAGACCAAGTTAACAAATGGAAGTGAACATGTCGTGGATGTAGATATGAAGTCAGAAGAGAGAAATGTGACTTTATTTATGGCCTCAAATGCAGGGGAAGGTTTGTGAAGGAATACTTAAGGCTGTTTCAGACAGCAGCAGCTACAGAGGAGTAGAACCTAGGCTTATTGTTGGACACAAAGTGCTGAGGGTGGAAGTTCAATGGCAGAAGAAGTGGAAGACA